CATTTAAAAGTTTCTACAGTGAAAGGGCGAGAGTGGGATACCAGCCTCGTAGGGCACTTGAATTCATGGAGTCTGGGAACCAGTGAAAGCAGCTCATCGGAGCAATTACCATGAAAGTATTTGTAAAATAGACAGAGAGAGGCAACGGTGCATCTGTGAGAGAGCAACTGTAGACGAGATGCCAGATCAGGGCCAATTAAATTACATATCCGCCTCTGGATCTTGTCAAGAACTCCGAGGTAAACAGAAGGTGCACCGGACCATATATGGCAGCAATACTCCATGCAAGGGCGAATGGTTGATTTGTATATTTTTGAAGTATCGATTCCAGGGAGAAAGCTTTCCTGACACGGCACAGAGAGACAACTTTCCTCGCGGTGGACGAAGCAATTGACTCAATGTATTTGTTCCATCTCAGGTCAGCAGACAACATGAGACCGAGCAGACGCAGAGAGTTGCTCTCAAGAAGTTGACTATCAGACATTCTAATGGGGGGCAGGGAAGGATCTCTATGGTGATTAATAGAGAGTAGTTTAGTTTTTGAGGCGTTAAAGTTGACCAGCCAATTCTTGCCCCGATTAACAACCGATTGGAGGTCCATTTCAAGACAAGCGTCCAGGTTAGTTTTGTCAGCGACACTAAATTTGTTTTTGAGGCAGGAGTAAATTGTAGTGTCGTCTGCATAGATGCCAACTTGGGAATCTATGGCGGCAGGAAGGTCATTGATGAAAATAAGGAATAGAGTGGGGCCAAGGATGGAGCCTTGAGGAACACCTGCATTCATGGGATAGGAACTGGAGAAGAATCCATTGAGAACGACCTTCAATTCACGGTTTGACAGGAATGATTGTATTAGGTCAAACAATCAACCTGTAATACCATAACCCTGGAGCTTGCAAAGAAAGACGGCATGCCAAACCCTATCAAATGCTTTGGAGATGTCTATGGCCACAGCACGAGCCTCACCATTATTTTGATGGGCTATAAGCACATCAGCTGTAGATCGGGCGTAGCGGAAACCATATTGCTTGTATGAGAGCAGGTCGTGTGAGGTAAGGTGGTTAACCACTTCGGCGTTGATCAGGGCTTCGAAGACTTTGCCGAAGAGGGGTAGGAGACTAATAGGATGGTAATTAGAGGGGTCAGAGGGGTCTCCAGAGTTCTTACTTAAACGTTATTTTTAGTCGATGTCCATATTTTGGTAGATGCTCTTTTGCGAATCTTGAAAAATCTGCTTTGCTTGGCTATCAGGTTCTCTGTAGCTGACAGGTCAAAGCTCATTAGATCTTATGACAGTTTCACCTAGGGGAATGCAGGTTCAAATTCTACCAGAGAGTGCATATTTTTATAATAAGATTTCTTGAAGATTCAGGCCAGTAGATGTAAATAAAAAATATACTGTTTAATAAATAAACAGAACATCTTCTCAAATATGGGTAACCACTAAAAATAACATTTAAATATAAAATATGCCAGATTAATAAATAAAAAATCCATATTATATATATATATATATATATATATATATATATATATATATATATATATACATACACGTATATGCATACAAGTGGCAAGTCTTTCTTCACATTGTAATACAAAAAAAGCTGGCCTCAAGGCTAATCATCTGTATTTAGATTGAGAATAATTGATTACAGAGACTAGCATTTAGCTATATACATATATAGGTTGCCCCACCCAGTAGATAGTGGAAGTGTATGACCTTGTGACCTGAATTTATATTTCTTATTACTAGAAACATATTTGACAGTTACACATATTTGAGTAACATTTCTAGTAATAATATTTATAGTAATACTTCATCAGAAGAAGAAAACAACAATAAATAAAAATAAAAAAAAGGAAATAATTATAAGAAATTAATATTTACACTATTTACATATTTGGACTATTGTCCTTATCTTTATTATTGTTATCACAACTTCTCAGCCTTCATCAGGTGTATATTGATTTGGGTAACCTACAGAGAATTCGGAACTGAACGCTTTATTTAATCTACAGGAGTAGACTTTTCATTCCACTGACCATGTCTAGGGATAACTTGTCTGGTTCTTATTTTTAGTATAGATATACACCTGATGAGGGTACAATATCCAAAACATTGTGATGACAACAAGATGGGGGGGTGCAATAGTCTGAATGCAAATAGCATAAATAATGATAACTCCTCATCTTATGAATTCATAAATTTAATCCATAAATTAAAGAAAGAAAAAACGAATATTAATAACAAGAAATAATTCTAATAAGAAATAATAATAAAAATGAAATAATGATAAGAAATACTATACTATATTAATAATAAAAAGAAATGAATAATAATGTATTAATAAGAAGAAATAATGATGTTTAACTATAATGCTTATAGTAATAAGTAATTATAATATCTATAGTAATAATTATAATGTTTATCATAATAATAAATAACTATATAACAATATATAACATTATAATAATAATATTAATAAATAATTTTTGATTAAAAAAACTTTCATTACTTAAGTGTGTGTGTGTGTGAATATGTAATTGTTTACATAACCTGTACAAGTATGTGTAGGATTTATTAAATTTTCATTTACATTAATGATTAGATATTTAGTGACATAAATTCTTGTAATAGCAAAAACAAAACCAATTGAAACAATAATCACAAGTGTATTTTTGCACTGTCAACATTTGAACCCACTATTCATTAACAAGGTTTCTGTATTTGTTTATTACTGACCGACAGCTTTATTGACACGCGCATACTCGGCTGATGAACAAAATATGACAGAAGAGGAAAAAAGAAGAAAACTATTTGATGATTCAAAATGCTTTTCCAATTTTTTATCTAAAATTTATTTGAGCAAACTCAGCATCATATACATATATATATATATATATATATATAAGTGGACTCTGAGGTTAACACCAAGTGGCAACAGTCTGTATCATGCTTGAACACAAAGCCTGAAGGTTGTGCACTAGCAGGAAACAGACTGTTGCCACTAGATTTTGACATCAGTGTCCACATATATATTTATATACTCTATCCCTGATATTAAGCAATTATATCCATAAATATAGCATACCTTAAAACTATATTTTTATCACATGTGTGCGTCTGTGTAAAAATTCAGATACGAATAAGACATTCTTGTCATTTCTTTTATATATATGTGTGTGTGTGTGTGTAAATAGATATATGTGTGTGTAAAAATTCAGTTAGAAATAAAAAATATATAATTGTAAAAAGACAGTATGGAAAATTTGCCTTGATAAATTCCATCAGAGGATGAAACACAGTGGTAAAGAATATTTTTTCTTTTTTATATTAATAAGAATATATATATATCTTATTACTATGAAAATTATTTTTTATTTTAGTATTTTTATGTTCTTTTTAATTTTCTTAAATTAATAACAAGCCTCAACTGAGAAATCCAACTAAAGTAATATTTTCAATCTAGGCCAGTTGCTATTAATTTCACTGTTTAAAATGAAAAAACAAAAAAAAATTAAAATGAAAAAAACAATATGGATACCAACTCAAATATATGTACCATCTAAAAACAGTATTTATAGTATATCTATTGGATAAAAAAATGACCCCCCACAAAATATATATATATATATATATATATATATAAATATATATATATTTGTTTTTATCACTTTAAACAACTTTTTATGGATAGATATATTTGAATAGACGATCTGTTTATTATAAGCAGTATATTTAATTTTGTCTACTGGCCTGAATATTTGAGAAATCTGATTAAAGATGGTTACTCACTAAAACAATATTTAAAGTAATTAAAAATATCTGAATCAGGTTCAGATCCTGCTAGAGGGCACATATTTTTCTTCAGGCTAGTAGACAAAAATAACTATACATATATATATATATATGAAGAAATTTTGAAAAAAACAAACAAAAATCCTTAAATGTAGTTAAATGAAAAATGTCGACGTCTGACGTTTCGGTTTATTAAACCTTTTTCAAGACAATATTCATCAAAATACAATTCAGTTCAATATGACAAATACGATGGACATAAAAACACAAGTCTTATTATTATTTTTGTTTGTTTTTTTCAAAATTTCTTCATTCTGTCGGATTTATATCCATTTACACTTGCTTATATATATATATATATATATTAGATGTAATGAACTTTTTAAAGGATTTGTGTTAATTACCTTGCTGCACTGATAGTGAAATGATCATGTTCATATCATTTAAACTCGAATAATATACAAAAAACCTATGAATTCAATATCTGAAAAGTCTTTGATTTATGCCTCTTTTATGCCACAGAAGCACTTTTCATGTAAAACCAAAATAGAAAAATACAAGACAGGAATAGAAGTCAAAAACAAAAAAGTGAGAGAGAGAAAGATCAAAAAGTGAGACAGACAGAAGGATCAAAAAGAGAGAGATACACAGAGAAAGATCAAAAAAAGAGAGAGAGATAAAAAGGAGAGAGAAAAAGAAATAAAGATCAAAAAAGAGGGAGAAAGACATATAAAGAGAGAGAGGGAGCAGAAGAAATAAAGATCAAACAAGAGGAGAGACAGAGAGAGAGAGAGAAAGAAAAAAATAAAGATCAAAGAGAGAGAGAGAAAGATAGAAAGAATGGAAGAGAGAAAAAGAAAGATGAAAGAGAGTGATTGAGAGAATGATCAAAAAAAGAGAGAGATAAAAGAGAGACAGAAAAAAAGAATTAAAGATCCCAATAATGATATGAACCTAAAACTAAACAATGCCAAACAAATTTCTTTTCTTTTTGTTTTTTTTATAACTTTTTCTTTGAAAAAAAATAAACTTTATTCACATTTACAAATTAGAGGGGAATTTTTTTGTTTGCTATTTTTCCCCTCTCATTTAGCTTACTCCATTCGTAGCATTGTGCGTTTCTTTCTGTTGCCAAGAAGAAAAAGCATGCCGTGGCAAACAGAATTCACATGGAGAAGAAGAAGAAAGATTTAGTTACTTTCGGATGGTTATCATAGAGTTCAGAGTCTTCATCATCTGTCTGTGCTCGGCTACCATCATTTGTTCCTACATAGGATTCACCATCATCTGTGACAAGTGCACTTGCATCATCATCTGTCCGTCCATACGACTCACAATCATCAGGAATGTACCTAGAACACAGAACAAAACAAAGGCAACATATTTTTAATATGCATAAAGGTATAAAATGATCATAGCTAGAACACCTGGTATGATAAACATTTAAGGTGAGAAACTGCCAATCACCAGAAAGGTGCTGATTCCTGTCCATACTGGTCATATTTCCAAGAACTCTTCTCCTCATAAAAAGAGCAAATTTTTAAACAATTTTAAAAGGATAATTATATATATATATATATATATATATATATATATATATATATATATATATATATATATATATGATAACAACGAAAGATGTTCCACATATGCTTCTTACCTAAACTTCTCAACTTTTCTTTCTCCAACATTTGTGGTATTCCTACCAGCTTCCGCAGTGTGAAATGTTTCCTGCTTGAAAAATCTCCGGACATCCTAGATGAACACACTTCTCTTTCAGATCTTTTTTATCTCTATCCCTGACTCATGTTGTACCATGCAGCTCTGCTCTCTTGGCAACTCCGATCATACAATAGTGTCTGTAAACATCTCTTTCCAATACCCCACCAACTAAGAATTGCCTACCAATAAAATATCTTTCAGTTATCAACATGCAGATTGGGACTCATTCTGTGATTTCCTTCATGGCATCCCATGGAATGAAGTTTTTAATCTTTCTATTCCAAAATGTGCATCTGAAGTCTCCTCTGAGGTGAAAAAGCTGGCATTGATGCTTTCATTCCAGCAAGGAATGCAGGTGTTCCCCAAGGCTCAATCCTGGATCCTATGCTGGTTCTAACCTTCACCAATAATCTTCTTGATGTCATCAGTTCCCAAGTAGGCATTTATGCAGATGACACTACCATTTACTTGTGTCTCAATAGCAAATCCATCAGAGCTGACAAAGTAAACCTGGCAGCTGCTCTTGAAAAGGCCCTCAAATCTGTGGTTAACTGGGGCAGAAAATGGCTCATAAATTTTAATGCCACCAAAATGATATTGCTCTCATTTAACCACCATAGAGAAACTTTACTGCCCATCATCAGCTCATGGAGAGCAACACACTGTGCCTTCTTGGCCTCACATTTTCAAATGGCTTGAAGTGGAATGACTAGATTGAATCAACATCTGCATCTACTGCAAGGAATATTGGGTCACTGTGTTGTGCCAGAAGGTTTTTCACATCAGAGTCCATCTTGCACATTTACAAATCTACCATCTGTCCTTGCATTGAATACTGTTGCCATATCTAGTCTGGTGCTCCTGCTGTTCATCTTGAGGTTTTTGACAAAATCCAAAGAAGAATCTGCAATCTAATCAATCCTGACTTGGCATCTTGACATTAGTCACTTTCTCATGGATGCGATGTGGCTTCCCTCTGTCTTTTCTACAAATATTTTCATAGTAACTACTCTTACAAACATTTTTCCCTGGTGCTTGAACTACTTGAGTTTAAGTGTGCTACTAGATTGGCATTTATCCCACCCTTTTATTGCTGAATTAGTTAAATGTAACCACCATTTCTACTCCAACAGTTTCTTTTCTTACACTTCATACCTGTGGAACACCCTTCTGTTTCCTTGCTTCCCTCATAACTACAATCTCCAAAAATTTAAATGCAATGTCAACTGCCATCTTCTATCTTCTTAAACCCCATTCAACTTTTATCCTTTCCCCAGTCCCTGCTATACCCAGTCTTTTCTCTCACCTTCACTTTCTGTAACCCCCTACATACTAGTGGCATTCCCATCTTACTTGGGGTGAAATGATTTAAAAAAAAAAAAAAAAAAAAAATAGGCCGGTTAATGAAATTTGAGGAATAAGAAGACAACAAAATGGTAAAAATATTTTCAATAAAATTGATGATATTTATTTTATATTACGATGCTTTTTGACTAAGAAGCACAGAGAGAAAGATTTAAAGTCAGAATTTTCCGACATGCCTGTGTTCTTTACCAATAAGATGAAAAATAAGCAATGAAGTGAAATTCACTCTTCCAAGGAATTTTGTTATTGTTTTGTTTTTTCCATGTGTTGTATTATTGTAAGAAATTTGATTGTTTTGGCCTAATAGTTTGGCATGGTTAGGATTGTGGGGGGACAATAAAGAAGACTCCATGGAAACTGTATTCTCTGAGTAAGCCTAAAAATTCTTGTTCAGTCCTTTAATATTTTGAAAATTTAATTTAACTCAGACTTACATCATTCTTGTTGACACTTAAATGAAGATGCTAAAAGCACACATGATGTTATCAATATATATATATATATATATATATATAAAAGACATGTCTCGTTAAATAATTTGGACAAGTTTTATCTACTTATTTTTAATGGGAGCCTCTCGTAATTACAGACAAGTTTCTTTGTGTCCTTATTAAAGGAAGAAAGGAAAAAGACAAAAAGTTGTGTGTTC